GTTTCCCACAGAGTAATTCATGGATGTTGATGAAAACAATCAGGCATATTCAGTGGGCTGATGACGATGAGTGTGAGCAATTTGTTGTGGATCCAAATAAAAACTCTGGATGTAGGGGTTTCAATGTGTTTTCATCTTCTGCATTGTTTTCTTGGTTTAGCTATAAGGCTGGATTAAATATAAAGGCACTGTTGGACCTTGGCGGAGGAATGCATCAGACTGTTTCGGACTGTGCATATAAATTGTTTTTGTACAATTTCAACTGATTGTTGCATATCTTGTAACTTGGAGTGTTTGTTGTAGGATCCTTGAGTTTATAAAATGTGTTCTCTGCTTTGAAGCAAGTAATCTAGCGCCCTGCCTCATAATTGCTTTTTATTTAACATGTCAACTGTGTAGATTTCCTTTAATTTGCTCTTTCACCTGTCAATTTCCATTTTCATTCCATGATTCAGTGTCAGGTAATGTCTGATTTATGTCTTATGTCTGATTTAGTTTAATTCTGTTTGTAGCCGATCCAGTTCTTCTCTGTGGAGCTCTTTTCTTAATTAGAACAATAGTCTATAATTGTCGTCCTGCCTTATTTTCGTATGACAGAAGAAGTGGAAGCTAGAATGTCCCCATTAGTGGAGGAATGTGGTGTGTCGGACTTACAGAGCCAAGAAGACAGAGAGGGGAAATGAAGGGAGAGAAGTGTATATAATGAGGTAGTTAATCACATCCCTCTGTCAGTCTCATGTTCATGCAGTGCTGCGTCTTGGGAACGGACCAGTGTGAGGGAAAAGCTGCTACGAATCTCCTCTGACACACCGTTTGCACTATGGGAGGTAATATCAACTCAGGCATGTAAAATTAGGTTGGCACTAATTGCTTGTTCTCCTTTCAGAACCGATCATTAGATAGTTCTTTAGAGTTGGACCAAAAGGTTGATACCGCCCTCACGTGGAGCAGGGAGTTAGCTTAGCTAGTCTTGTCATGGGGAAACACATCTACTGGTTGTGTCTGAATCTGCTGTGAAACATGCTAGTTGCTGCAAGTCAAGGCTGGTTTTGCTCCATCTACCTCTGGGTTATGGGCCCAGCACGTTTCCGCTGTGCCACTCTGCTTTCCTGTTCTATACCCGGGGTGTCAGGCAAATGTTGCGGATTTCAATTGTAAGTAAACCGAAAGAGAAAGTATGAAAAACTGTTGCTTGTTGTTGTATTTGACAGCTTATCTACTTATGATAATTTTACCAAGTTCATTATATACAAAGAGAGTGACACTTGATGTATCAATCAAGACATTTTGATACTGGTGAATTAAATTGTAGAGAGATTTTTGGGTTCTTTGTAACCAAAAGAGTTTAAGAGGTGGGATTTTGAATGTATGTAAAAAAAGTAAACTGTATAGAAGAAGAGATACTTTGTTGATCCCTCAAGGGGGAAATTCTTTTTACACTCATATTTATACATGCAGTTTTTAACCCACAATCCCACACACACACACAAAGGGCTCATAGACATGCAAATATGGAGAGAGATGTTAGAATGATGAGCAGCCCTGGAGAAGCGCCCTGCGAGCAATTAGGGGGTTTGGTGCCTTGCTCAAGGGCACCTCAGCCCAGGAGGTGAACTGGCACCTCTCCAGCTACCAGTCTATCTTCCATACTTTTTAGTCCATGCTGGACTTGAACTGGCCACCCTCTGGTTTCCAAGCCAAATCTCTATGGACTGAGCTACTGCTGCCTATATGTATGTATATAAATTTGAAGACGTCTCATCCTAAGTGAAGAGTACACTTGTAGTAAAGCTGAACATGTGTCAGCAAGTCAGCGACCTGACCCAGTTTGATTTAACACTAGCCACTGTCAGTTCTGGTGATATTAGATCATCTAATATCAGAAAGAGTGTGACGACAGCAGCAAAACCTCTGAGTTTACTGAAGTGAATAAAGACTAACATATTTAGGGATTAACTTTAACATGTAAGACAAAGAGTGTGTTGTCATACACATGTAACAGGTAACCTGGGATCAGTAATGAAGACTGGACTTAAAAGTACAGTGTGTAGAATTTTGTGATATCTAGTGTTGAAATTGCATGTTGCAGCTGAACACCCCTCAGCTCACCCTCCTCTTCCAAACTTGAAAAATAACCTCTTACACACTGGACCTTTAAACAGCCAGTATAAGTGTTGAAAAGGATTTCAAACAGCGATTGCAAGAACACATCAAAGTCTAAAAACACATCAAACGTGAGCACAGGACTTCAATCATTATGTGTTCAGCAAATTAAGCATTTACGGCAGCAGCGGGAAACTGGAGCACTGCTGTGACCAAATGGGTTGCGCCGCACTAGATGTGGTTTTGTTCAAAATGTCTCTGTGTCATGCTCCTCAGAATTTAGTACCTCGGGGAGTCCCAGCTCAAACCGAGTATTATTTAAAACATATCGGTGACACTTCAGTGTATGTTTACCAGTCTGTAGGGGAATTCCTCTGAACTGAATTACATAAAAGAGTTGTATCTCTTTTTTCAAATATCGGCACAGAAGTACATAAAACTTTCATTTATGGATATGTTGCTTTGATAATTTCATTACATGTAATTATTCTACATTCTAATGATCTGTCATTGAGGTTTATTGATGCGATGGCTAAAGCTATGAATGCAGAGCGCTCTGTGTGGTCTGTGAGCTGTTAGGAGAAAAACCACAACAAAATTGTTCTCTATCCCTAATTAGTTTTCTGTATAACACGAACACTGAAACTCCGAAGCAAACCTTTACAAATTACTCTTGGGCAAAATAAGGAAATAAAATAACCGCTAATAAATAACATTTCCAGCCTTGTACCAAGAAACGGCTCCAGTTTCCAAGAGACAGCAGAACTCAATCAAACATCTAATCTGTGACATGAATGGAAATCAGGTCAGCCAGTAGGAATCAACGGAGGGCAAAGTTTTCAAGTCATGCCTTCATCCACACACACTACTGCCTTCAGTCTTATACCATCACAGTCATGTAAATAATAAAAAACACTTCCTGTAAGGTGCTTCACTGTAAATATTTTAACTGTCAATGACCCTGTGAATACTATATACAGCTCTGTATCTCTGTTTTCTGTCAAACTCTGGCTCTCTCCCAGCAGCATGTTGGCGGCTGTCCTCTTCCTCCTCCTCCTCCTCCTCTTCTTCTTCATCTCTTTCTTCATTATCTACAGCTCTCTCTCCCTGACCCCCTCCTGCTGCCTCGGCATTCGCAGCAGCATTTTATTTTATATTTGTTTTCTCTTGTCCTCTACTTTCTTTTTAAACAGTTGGTGACATTTTGACAGTCAGTTCATGGCACATGTGTATTTGGCACAAATGACAGGATGACAAGTTAAATGTGCTTTCTACACATGCTTATATGTGAATACATATGAACTGTACTGTCAGTGCTGTAATATAAGTTGGCATTTAAATTGTCTTACTTGGTCCCAGTTTTGGGTCAACCACAGACCCTTGCTCCTTTTGAAAGGGCCCCCCAGGACCAACCTGGGCCTTGGGCCCGAGTCATGTTGACCCTTTGACCCACCCTGACAGCAGCCAAGATGTTGATGTTCTATGAGGGTTTCCTAGTATTACTTCAGACAGCTAGACATGAGGCTCCACAGCTCAGTTCCAAGAAGCAGATTGACAGAGATAACTAACTGCTTTATTCTGGTGGGAGGGTGAGGGAGCCCATGCAAAGGTCATGCTAAGCTCTATGACATGTTTATTCTGACTCATATCACTGAAAAGACATGTATTAACATGTAAAGCAACAACAACACTGATCAATATCTACCAGGGGCTCAAACAATTTATATAGACCACCCAGATTTGTTTTAAATCTGAATTTGGAATTTAGGAGAAATATCAGCAGTTTAAATGGATAAAACCTAATTTCAATTTAGAGTAAAGTACAGTGGATTGATTCCCTCAGCTCCTCCTTGCCTCTCTCTCTCCCTGTCACACACTAACACACTGACAGCAGACCCGTCTGTCCACAGCCTCTTCTCTACGTTCACACTCTGAATCAATACATGGTCATGCGCAGGAAAAAATGGTTGTTATGCTTTTCCTCACACAGAAGAGGCAAAGCTGCTACTCAAAACTGACTTAATCATGAAAGTGTACAATTTTTATCTTGATTGTGTGACTGATGCTGGATCATTTGCTGCCTCAAAGGAATTTGCACTGAGGCATGAAGACAGAATGGACCGGAAGTATAAACAGAACAGAGAGGCTAGATACAAATGATGTGCAGCAGAAGAGGGTCAGGGAGGGAGAGTTGTAAAAAACGAAGAGAGAGATGTGGGAGAGGAGGATGAGGAATTACTTATTTGTCAGTTATACTTGGCAATTCAAACATTTGTAGTGGAGCCCTGCTTCATGGTATTAAATAATAAATAATACCTGTGACCGTGTTGGTATTTGAGATAAGGATGGGTGGGAGGCTGTGCTGGACTGGATGTGGATCAGGGGTCCAATTTAAACACTTTGATCTCCGTCCATTATTTTTTTCTGGCCTGAGCACATCGGACATGTTTTCTCTTGATGATTTTTCTTTGAAATCTGATTTAAACCAAATGTAACTTCTCATCCAAAAGAAAAGGGAAGAAAACAGAAAATTGTGGAGGGTAGAGACACAATATTTAACCTTTGACAGGCTGTTAATAACAAAGATGACTGTTTATGTTCACTCCTGTCAAGAGTCAAGAGTGCACTGGTTTCTCACCGAGATCACTAAACTCAGTCTTGAGCGTTTGCAAAAGAAGTACAGTGACACTACTGATAAAACAAGAGATTAGTATTTAAAGGGCATTAAATATCGACATGAAAAGTCTGTGAGGTTTTCCACAACACCCCACCCACAGATCCATTTTTTAACATGTAATTTATTGTAATGGACCAGACATGACACCACCAGTAACCAGAGATCCACATAAATCCATTCACTCCTCTTGTGTGTTCAATAAATAACTCATAACAACACATATGTTATAAAATATTTTTTATTACTGCATACTCTCATTAAACAAGTGGGCTACAATTTAAATGTGATCCAGAACACCAGGGCTAATATTCACATTTTATCATCAGCCTCAAATGACTTAAATGTTTCTTGGGGGTCCCTCTGCAAAGATTCTCACAAAACTGCTCAGACCTTCCCCTGGATAATTACACACGATGAGTTAATGTACTGCTACTGTTGCAAATTCTTATTACAGTAGCAAAGGAAATGTTATGTTTGATTCATATATTACACACAAAAATACTGTCTATATTCAAAACAACATAAAAATAAGAAGCTTCAGTGTCATTTGACACATTATCTGGTCATTAAGCACAACTTTGGTTTTTAAAGAGGACACATTCATCCACTAGTTTGGTAAAATACACTAAATATGCAAAATTTCAAAAAAAAACTCTATCTCAGATCCAGATTAAATGGATTTATCATGTGCATATCATCAGGAGGGCTGTATGATGTCACTTATATAGGGCTTGCAAAATGATTTTCATCAAAAGTAATATAACAAAGGCTCAATGTGTATTTATATACTGTTGAGAAAACACATCATCAACCTCAGGTTTGTAAAATATTTGTCATTCTCTGTTTGTCAAACCACAACTACTTGGGAGCAAAAATCAGTCTTTAATCTCAAAAGAAATAATAATGTGACATTTATCGTAAAATTATCGATATTGACTGATATGAACATTTTTATCTTGATATAAATTCTGCCACATCGTCTAGCCCTAGTTTTTCTAACTTATGTAAAAAGTGTTTTCTTGATGCTGGTATCATAAGTATGTGACGACTGAGTTGCTCAGCAATCTCAGGTGTCCTAAAGTCCTCCTGTGTTGGACCCCACATACTTCATCTCTCTTATGAGAAATTCTCTCATTCACAGATTATGTCGATCGCTCACATTCAATCTGTCCCTGAATTTTACCTAAATTGATTTGGTTCCTCCACTGAAAGGAAAGAACCACATATCTCTAAATAAATGCTATGACCATTCTCAGAAAAACATTCACTTTTTAAAAACAGCTGTACAAAAATGTATTTTTTCCTTCCTAAAGCTTTTAAACGTCTCCATCATAGGAAATGTGTTCCTGCTGCAGTCAAACAAGTAATTTTCCAGCCACACGACTGCTCATGTAACCTGATCACTCACTGATGGAGGTCAGATATTTGGAAAGTAATTAATAAGCACTTCATGTTGGAAAGATGAAATGAGCTCCACGTGTTTTGTGATATTTTCTTAGAAAAATAGAAGCTACATTGTAAAGAGACAAGTTAAGACTTTATACATAGTGGAAACCACTTACAACAGCGTGAGTACTGCATTAATAATAAAACTAATATTGACCTCTTCTGTGTGACATGATGGAAGTCATCTGGTGTTTGTCGGCGTTCAAGGACAACAGCTTTCCTCCAGATGACTCAAACTGCAACTCAAATGATTTCCAGATGAAGGATTTCTGCTGTTTGCCTCTCCACATTACTGTAAGATACACAGTGGGCCCCATTTTGCTTAGGTATGATGTCACCAAGGCACATGGGCATCACGCAGTGAGAACACGCACATGACTTTCAGATAATCGGCTACTGATTCTCGGGTCACAGTTTCCCTCTATCTTTCCCCGTGAGGTATTAAAGCTTCAACAGTTAGTACTCTTCGGCTATTATTCATACATGAAGCACTAAGGCTATAGATATAACTATATGTCTGCAGGTAAATAATGTACATACATTTACATGTGGCTTGAATTAACATTCTTTATAAGTGTATATACCGTAATTGTCCACTGAGAGACTTTTAACCCTAAGTGTTGGAGTATGAACAGATTTATGCTGCCCTGGTTTCATCATAGTTTCTGCAGTATGGTGCTGCAGCCTGAACAGGAACAGTCCTTGGCTTAATGCTTGTATGTCAGAGTCTTTCAGTCTTATGTGTGTCCTGTAGAATCTCATTCTGTTCTTCCCTCCTGCTGTTTCTCTGTGATGGAAGCTGATTGGAACATGGGTTTGGGAGAAGAGGTACGTGTGTGTGTACTGTAGGTGTGTGTGCCTGTGGGTGTGTTTATGAAGAGCTTGTGTATTTCTGACTGGAGCGGGAGCTGGAGCGGTCAAGGCCGTTCCCGTGGCAGGAGCCTTTCCAGCGTCCTCCCGAACATCGCTCGTCCAGGGGAGACATTCTGTAGCACCAGCAGCACAGGCAAGACTACAGGAGAAGACAGACATGCAGTTAATCAGGGGTTTTTGTTGACTGGATTTTATGACTAAAATGGCAGTGAGTGGAGTGCAGGCATCCTCCAAGACCCAACAGCCCTTTTAAATTCAATCCAGCCTTATGGTCCAACAAAAAAATGCGGATCATGAAATCATAATCTCCTTTGCTGGAGATGAAACCACATTTAAATCTGCTCGATCCAGATTTTTATTTGAATCTGCACCAAATTTCACACACTCAGTCCACAAAGTATTTTTTTTATTCATTTGTTACAATAATTGTTTCCTGGAAAATTGGTGAACTGTAAGAAAGTGAACAAAAAGTCCTGGATCCACGTGACCAAGCAAACAAGACAAATGAGATGGGGGTGAAAACTCCTTGGTGAAGGTGATTTTAGTTGTTTCATACCTGGAAGCAGTTTTTAAACTTCTGGCTGACAAAGTAGAGGGCAATCGGGTTAATGCAGGAGTTTAGGGAGGCCATGTTGATGCCGATGTAATCCATCACTAACAGGAAGCTGGCAGGGAAAAGTGCATAGTTTACAGTAAAGATCACAGGAAATCACAGAGCGGAGAACAATAGTTTCTCATTTAGTTCGCAGGGTATTTGTGTCGCCTGCTGTATGTGTGCACCTACCTGAGCAGGTCACAGCGGTTAGGGTCGTTTTGGTCGTAAATAGTTTTCTTCAAGATACGGCTGAGATGAAGGGGCAGCCAGCAGAGAGCAAAAATCAAGACAAGGCAGAAGACCGTCTTCGCCACTTCCCTCCGCTACGCACAGAGAGAGAGACAAATATTGAAAACATTAAGGGCCCCCAGGTCTCATAGATCATGGCTACATGATTCACAATGTGTGCGTCAGACTATTTTTGTTTACATACCTGTTTCATGTGGTCATTGAGTGCGATGCGCATGCCTTTTTTACGACTGAGCATTTCACAGGACATGAGGGTGTAGAAGATTCCTGTGCAGGCCAGTGGGAAGCAGAAGTAGAAGCCAAACAGCCACCAATCTTTCACATCCTGGTAGAACTGGAGAAAAAGATCCCTTCATTAAAAGTCCATCAATAAATAAACATGTAGATTTAATGCAGCCCCGAGTCTCCAGTGTACTGAATGTGTTTTGCATTAAATGACTGTGTTACTGAGGTTTCTTACCAACATATACATATAAATCATCCAGTCAACATGTACACTGTACAGACAAGGTGCACAAAATTGTATGTATTCTATCCAAAAACCCTTTGATCACTGTTTTGTAAAATACCTTTGTACAAACTACAGGACAAAGTCTAAAAAAGTCAAAAACAGAGAAAGAGTCTAACTGGGACTGTATTTTATCCCTAAAATGAACAGTCAATAACAAATAAATAAACAAATAAACAAATAATTTTTTGATTATTTGTCAAAATCATTTTTTTATTTGTGTTTCCTCCTTTGTTCCATTTGACTTGTTTAAATTCTCTCTTTTTTCTTTTCAGTGAAAGAAAGTGCTTTCTTTCCTCTGCGTCCTTCAGTTATATCCAGAAAAGCATAAAATTGTTCATAATAATACGGAAATATTTTCTTTGCCAGTTCATAAGGAAATGTTATACTTTGCTCTACTATAACTAATAAATAAATGTGGTCTGTTGGTTCTCATGAACACAAACAGTTCATTTAGATCAACTGCATGCAGCGTCCATGTGTTGCATTACATTCATCAGCATGAGTTATTATGTGTTAGTTGAGCTCAAGAGGCAAAAAGGAAATCCTGATTAAGGAAACACACCAATAATTTGGTTGGCCCTCGGGGGCTTTGCTCTGAAGTGAACCGAGCTGTTCCCATGTGTATTTGAATGTCACATCATCAGGTGCAGGCTGAACATAACCCTTTTTTATTAGTGGAGAGATCCTAATCAGTGGGCTGTCATGGTCACAGCTGTGACCCGGGCCCTCCCTTGTGTCTCATGTTTTTCTGTGTGTGTGTGTGTGTGTGTGTGTACAGTGTGTGTTTGTGCTGTCGACGTGATGCTCCTCACTCCCTACCCGGCCGCTCGACTGGCAATTGGCCATCACACCTGCAATCCATCTACTTATGAGTCAAGGATTATATCAACCCTCCACATCTCTTCCTTTTCCACTTTACACTGTAAGAGGCAGAGAGCGCTAAGCTTCCCTCCAGTCCCTTCCCCGCACTGCCAGCTCCACTCCCTGACTCCCAGCTCAGGCCTGCTGTCCGTCACTTCCCGCCTTGGCCTTCCTCCTCCTCATCCACCTATTGGAGCCCTCTATCCTCCAATCCAAGGCTCTCTGCAGTAAAATCCTTCTTTCATCATACAAACATTGAAACTCTCTTCTGTGTTGAAGCACAACATGGGAACAGACTATCTGAGTTTTTGGCTCTCAGCTAAGGAGGAAGTAACAGACATTGCTTGCTGTGACTGATGTAAATCCTTTGGGTCCAGTGAGTGATGAATGATTCACAGTACAAAGAGACACAGCCCAGCTGATTATCAGAGTGACCGTTTCACATAAAAAGGTGAAAAATCAATTTGCCACTTCAACCACGACTTTCCCGAAAGTATAGTTGTGTTTATGACACTTTTTTAAATCAACTTTTTTAATCAAATAGCCTTTAAATTCATCAAATTAAGATAATCTCAATAATCTTTCAATTCACATCCAGTTTCATCACCTTTTAAATCAATACCTTTCTGTGAACTCATAACAGTGCAACCAAATAGTTATAACTACATTATTTAATAGTGCTCAGTAGCTTTTATTATATTATTAAATGAGTGCTCAAGTTTCACCCCAAGTTTTTATGCTGCATCTTGTATGGTTGTGACACTACTGCGGTGACAGGTGAACGGACAGACACGCTCTTAAGGTTGGTAAAAAAGTGTCCTATACCTTCATGAAGCTGATGGTTTGTTCCGGGTGCAGGAGACAGACTCGCAGCTTACTGCCTCTGTATGGAATCTCCAACATGTCGAACCCCAGCGCCTCGGGGACGGCCAGCACCACGGCCACCAGCCAGATCAGAGTCACCTGCACAGCTTTCCACAGAGGGATCCCAATCCCCTTCACCCTGCTCCATGACGTCACTGCATGGTAGCTACACGCACACACGGCGTACAAACACAGACACAAGCATTAGCTGCATTCAACACTAGTATTTATATTTTATGTGTGTAGGGCAGAGGTCCATACCGGTCAATGCTGAGGGCGCACAGGCTGAGGACGGTGATTCCCACAGAAGCTTTCTGGATGAAGGGCATCAGTTTGCAGACGTACACACCAAACGGCCAATCCTCTGCTATCAGCTACAGAGAGAGATAATTGAAGGAGACAGGGAGGGTAAGGGAAATCTGAGAAGTGTCACCTATGTAACCTTTGAGGATCACTGTTCAGCATGTCCTCCATTATTGCTCCAGCAGGTTAGGGCAAAACCAACAAGAATGTTCTCTTCCTTGCCGTAAACATCCTTCCCCCCAGGAGGATGAAATCAGTTCAAGACAATTTCTTTAACAACAAAAGCAAGTTAACGGTGGACTTAACAATTTGGGCTGTTGACAAAAATGCCTGAAATTCAAAGTAAAAAAACAATTAGCCCAATATTTAATATTTTTGTGTTTTAATTAAATAAAAAGTTTTTAATTCATTTGTATTGCATAGTTTTAATATACACAAACAAATAAAAGCAAGAATGAGACTTATGTAATCTTACTAATCAACCCAACATGTTTGATGCCCACAATCAGAATTGTGCAACGTAAATGAATGAAACCACATAAAACTGTCTGAATGTTGAGACAAATTGCAGCAATAAACTCATAAATAAACCACAGCTAACCACAGGATCTGCCAATAATTGTGTTGCAAATGACTCAGGCATAACTGTGAAAGAGCAGTGCAGGAAGAATTGCTTTAGATTGAAATACTAAATTAGTTACAGGCCATGGGATGGGAAATTGACTTAATATAAACCTGTTTTTTTTTGTTTTTTGACATTGTGTAAAATGCTGCATATCATCATATTATACTCAACAAACAGAGACATTTATTCAATCTAAGGAAACACTGCACAGAATCGTGCTGCCATGTTCAAGTGTTTTTTCAAGCATTTTGACTACTTGAGTTTGCCATTATTGTGTGTTGCACACAAGACTGCAAGTCACGGTATACTGTTATCAAGTGGAAGTGAAACCGTATGTGACCTTATCCTCCCAAAATATGAAGCAGCAGGGTACATAGAGCAGATTAAATCTTTTACTGTCTTTGGTTGACTGTGAAAATTGTGTTCATGCTACATGTATATTTTGACACTAAAAAAGAACCTGGTGATGGTAAAAGTATTTAACTGACAACACAAAGCAGTCAATCAAACTGACAGGCCCCAAAAACTGCAGCAGCAAGTCTTTAACGTCTGCAGGCAGCAAGAATCAGGAGTACAATCCACAATATAAAGTCACGTGGTCATACAGCTGTTTTCTGTTCATTCCAGTGTAAACTTGATTTGTGCACTGACACAAAGGATAAATGTGATTACCTTAAACACATTGATTGGGATGGCGATGATAATATATAGAAGGTCCCCCAGTGCCAGGCTGCCAATCAGGACGTTTGGCCCGTTCCTCATACACTTGTTCTTATATATGATCCTGAGCAGCGTTGAGTTGCCGATGATCCCCACCACAAAGATCAGGCACGACACGATGGTGTTCACATACTTGAAGGCGTATTTGATCTCTGTGGGCTTTAGGCACATGGGGGGGGAGGAGCCCCGCGGTCGGCCCGGTTGCGGAGGAGGCAGTGGGACAGATGTGTTGCTCTTGGAGGTTTCTGAAGCGTCAGGTCCTCCCTGGGTGTCACGGGCGAACCTGGAGGCCCCGACCTCCGCCACCATCAGGAGACACAGCAGAGCGAGGGCCCTCATCCTCACACAAGCCTCACACTCACACAGCAAGATGTTCGCTCACTCAAAGGCACGTGGCAGCCTAAAAATTACACACTTAAATGGTCTCACACACACACATATTCACGTGCTCATTTTCATCCAGACACTGGGTCCTGCTCCGGGTTTGACAACATGTGACCAAGTCTGAGGTTCTTTGTCCTGCAGAGGAAGCAGACAAACAGTCACGTTACACACAAACAGTCAATGTATTAGACTGATTGCCACAAACTTTTGTACTGACATTCATGAACCCTAAAGGATGATCCTGATGACTTTGATGATATAGATACACAATGAAGAGATTGTTAGAATCTAGGACATCCTCACAAAGCTGCGACCATGACTTTTAGTTTTGTTTATTTATTAAAATAGGTGTTGTCAGGGTCAGTAACAAACTGGGGAGATATATCAACTATCATACTCACTTTTTTTAGAACATAGGACAGGATGGTGACTATCCCCTGTACGTTTGAAGGTCTTCCACACAAATTAAGTTACCAACTACCAGTAGATGTTAGCAGGTATTAGCGGACACCAGTGGCACATAGCCTCAGTTGTGCATCTTAGCGTCATCAAGTGTTTTGGCCTTGTAATCAATGATACAAGCAGAACTTGAGGGTACGCTGAGGCTAACGGTAAATCTGACTGGCTACTGTCTTGTATGGCAGTACTATGAAAGCCATGTTTCCTGCTTAGTAAATCAGACATCATCATCTCTGTGCCTTTTTAAACTAAATACAGTCCCATTATAGAACATAGAACCAGATGGAGAATATCCCTATGCCCTACCGCACTAATTAATGACTACCACCAGTTGATGTCATCGGATGTAAGTGACCACCGGCTGATGTTAGAGACATGTCTCCAGTTGTGCACCTTAGCGTCATAAGGTGTTTTAACCTTTTAATCACAAAACACCCTCTTCTAAGGCCCAACACCTGGCTGCATGTCCCTTGCACCTCGGGGCCCAGTTGGGATCTTTCTTCCTGATTGGCTGCAGTGGTCTGCAGTCTGTGATGTTTCTTTAATGGGCTGGTGTGGTGCATTGAAACCCCTGCAGCCAACCTCCACAGGGGCAAACTACTGCTTTCCAGCCACGTTCTTCTGCCTCATCTAAGAATAAAAGCCTTCAAACACCAGGGCAACCATGTACCATAGAGTTAATGTTTCAATGCAACTAAACTTTAACAAGAAAGATATATTTTCTTGACAACATAATGGAACTGTAACCATAAGGTGTTCATATTTGGCAAGTTGCAAATATGTTGATAATAAACGAATAACAGGACAATCACAGGCATTACTTGTTTTCTGCCAACATTTCTGATCTTACTTCACTTGAAGTGACTTTAACTTTTTTAAATTGTATTTACATTTAACCAACTTTCCCTCATCTTAACCAAAGTGCTTTTTTTGCCTAAACATACAGGACTGTGGATGTGGACTCTGGTGTCTGGTCTGACACTTGAGTTTTTTGTATAGTGGATTGTGATTCATTCAATAATTTATTCAAAAACACTAACAAAAGAATGTTGCCTCTTAATCTATACAGACTATTATGTTTTTGACAACACGTATTTGTTGTTATAACCTCACCACAGAGCTGAAGTTGTTAAACTACTGAGCAAGATTCTGCAAGTGGTCAGATAACTTACATGTAAATGATCAAAGCAGGCGCACAGTTTAACTTTCCGTACCACAGAGTTAATTCAAAGAGATAAAACTTAATCCTAATCAACAGGTGTTAAAATCATTCTGAGTCAGATGCTCTGAAGTTTTAATTTAATAACATAAGAGCATTAGGAGATGCACATGCAAGTGTGCACAATGTTCAGTACCTGATTGCAATAGTGAGAGTGTGTTCTGTGTAACAGAGAAGCAAACGAGAGGGAGAGAGGGGAGCAACGGAAGAGTGATAACTGTGGTTAGGAACAGCTCTTCTGTGTCCAGTGTGTGTGTGTGTGACTGTGCTCCCTAAGCATGTGGCTACAGATATTGTTGCCATTGTCAATCAGCCCATTTATCCGAAAGACGCCTGGGGGCATTCTGGGGGGTAACCATGATTCTTGAGAGGCTCAGAGCTAAGCTAGAGTCCTCTGTGACACAAAGAAAAGCCTGCACGCACACACACACACATTGTACTTCTGTCTTTGTGAGGACACTTATTGCATTCCCAACCCTAAGCTGAACCATCACAACTAAATGACTTGCTCTAACCGTTAGCCTAACCCAAACCTGAAACTAATCCTAGACTGAACCTTAAAACCAAGCGCTAGCCCTCAAACAGACTTTAAACTTTGAAGTTGTGTGAACCGACAAAAATGTCCTCACATTCCCAAAATGTCGTCACTCCATCTTTAAAATGCACACACAGCCCCACAACCCCATCTCTGAGCAGATGTGCAAACCTCTTGACACCATGGTTTGGGGATGGGACAAATACTTCCTTTAACTTCTTAACAGTCATATAAGAATGTGATTATAAAACATACATACACATATATGTATGCTTTTGCTATCAAACAGAGCTGGCATTCATGGCTGTGTTCGGCTCACAGAGGCTCATTCTGTCCACACACAAAGACATGAAATCACATGGATGAACTCTCACACATATCACAAGAAATCAGTTTTGAAAAATCTGGCCATCATCCACACATATCCCCTTTATCATCTGAATAATCTCTTTGTGTTGTATAACATGGCAGCTCATTAAGCCATGTTAGAGCAGGATTGTCTGATGTATTTTGAAAGCTGAGGTTTAATTGGACTGATCCTCCTAATCTAATAGGTTCTACTTTAGCAGCCATCTCCGACATTTAGCTCCGCTGGCTCCGAATCTTAGAAAGGAAGGAGGAGGAAAGTTGGCAAGCGGTGGAAAGTGGAAGGGTTACTAGAGGTGGTCAGAAGATGTGCATGTATGTGTGGGAGGAAAGCGTGGGAAGAGGACCATATGACAAGTCTGTTCTGGAAAAAAGTGCAAAAGAATAAAAAATGCAGAAATACAGGGACCAACTGGTGATAAAAGAGGCCACAATTGGAATGACAGCTTGATCTACTGTAGCATTTATAAGAACAATGGGAGGAAAACGAAAGCACAGGAAAGGCAACGTCAGAAGAGGGGAAAGAGTGAGAGGTGAAACAATGACTGAGAGGATGGGAGCCTGGAGGTACTGGCTGCAGGTCACTCTCATGACAAAACAGAGATAAGATGGAGAAGTGGGCTAAGGAAATAAAGAACGCTCATCCAAAGTTACAGGATCGTTTTAGATTAAGGATTACGCCTCAACAGGCCAATTTATTTTATTTGCACATAATCACAAGACTGTGACGCAAATGCATGATGAATCTGAATTAACTATGTTTTTGTCTCAGCTCTGTGGTTTATCTTGATCTTTCCTCTTAATCTGTCCAGTTATGGATTAACGTCATACACACAAGGGGGAACTGCTGCATGCAAGTAAAAAGGAAAGGCAAGGATGTTTTGTTTTTATAAAGAAGGACAAATCCAATAAAAAAAATACCAGATTAGTCTCAGCTCCACTACATCTCCATACCTTGATGTGACTCTTTGATTTTATGGCTGCATTTTAAGATTTTTGGATTCTTGGTCACACTGTAGCTCTTCAGCCAATTCCCTTGAGTTTAGTGGTCTCTGCTGTGAAATGATTCAATAAATTCCTGTCTACGCGGGGATAAAGAAAGCAAGTGGAGTGAATATAGTTTTCAGTAAGTCTGTTATTGTCAGGGGCAGCGATGTTTGGCCACCGTGAGACGGATTTTTGCTGGGCCCCTCAGATGCGCAGCGGGAGCCAGCTGCAGGGCGTGAAATGGACTGACTGCAAACTGTGACTGCTGAACAGCAGAAGATTGATCAGCACTGACAGGCTGTTATGAGCATGAAGCAGACCTTCTATTGCCATCTGCGTAACCGCGTGGAAACGATATTGTCACGCGTGTGAGAGAAGCTGAGGCCCCCCATTTCAACACGAGGGCCCCTAACTAGGTTAGAAAACAGTCAACAAGTGGGCAACCAGACAATGACTTTCCATGGAAAAAACAACACAAATCCACACGCAAAGTTTGCCATAATGGATTTATATTCTACTAAAAACGTGACGCGATGCATGCGTAACGATGCCTGTTTAAGAATCACCAAACCTCTTCATTTACCCTTTAAAAATTACAGACTGGTTTCTTCAAACTAAAACCAAGATGAATAGATTGATGGATGAATAAGTTAAGGTCCATGACTTCATCTCTTTTCGGGACTTACCCACCTGTGGTGCCGTGATGTTTTCAGTGCCAAAATTTTCGATCCAATATTCCAGCTCAGTTCCAGCAATAGGATGGTTGCGCTCCTTGGATTTAAAGCAATGTGTATTTTTGAGCTCCAGCTGATTATGTTCACGCTGTGTCCACTGTGTTTGTGAGTGTGTCTGCTTGCTCCCCGCTCCCGACTGCCTGGGGTCTGATGCACGGAGAGAACAGCGCACGGGTTTTATAGGCACAAGCCGGGAAGCTTCTGATCCAGCCAATCACGCCCCACACACCAGCATCTCCGCTGGACGCGACTCTAATGCATACATTAACTTTTTCTTCTTCTTCTTCTTTTATATTCTGTGCGACGATGCTCCTGTTTCCTGTCATCCGACTCATTTGTACTAACTTCTTTGGTTATTCTTCTGATGACGTAGGCCTATACACACGGGATGCTGTCATGGGAACGGTTCAGCCTCAAGGGTTCATAACCCAGCAGGATTTAAGATCAAAAGAACAAGACACAGACACACACACACACACTTTACATTGTCAATGAGTTTGATTTAAAGTTTTAAAAATTGTTTTATTAAAAAGCATGTACTTATGACTGGCACACAAGTGATGGTCTGAACCATATGTGAAGGCTGGATCAACAGTCAATCATTTGTATCAGGCTGCTGTATCTCATAATGATCAAGGGCTTCTTCTACACATGATCACAATCATATGAGTGGGTTCAACACAGGGAGTCTGTCTAGTTTCTGTGTAAGTGTGAATATAGGCTCAAGTTTTTCCTATGTGATCAATGGCATACTACTTGTGTTCAGCATTTGATGGTATCATTGGTGATGACTGACCACAGTGGCGCTTACAGTAACATCTATCTTTACTACATCTATACTATATCGATTCCTTCCTCATCAACCTTCTCACATCTTCAACGTTGTTGCAAGTTTTGAATTTGATGAAATCACAGAGCACTCAGAAGCTACGACATACTTTAAATGTGTCTTTGATGTTTTGTATTCTTGTTTTTATTTCTCCGCTTTGTGATGACTTTTTTAAAAGGTGCTATGTAAGTAAAGTTATCAATATTATAGCGGTAATGCACCTTGATGTGGGTTGCCACCCGCCAATAAACTGAACAAAGAAGAAGATTATCTATCTGCTTGCGGACAGTCTTTTGCATATGTCTGCAGAAAATTCGCACACTCATAACAGTCCATCGAAATCACTGTACAGCATTGATATGACAATATACAAGAGACGTCCTACAGAAAACTACAATTCTGAAATATGTTTTCTTGAATCAGTTCTACTTCATTCAGTAGTACTGCCAGAGTATAAAAAAACAACTGAAGACATTTAATTATGCAGTGCTTGTGACACACTCATGCACATGTGCAAACAAAGACACCAAACATGCCAAAAACAGGAACAATCTCTTAAACATCCCCACCCTTCACATCATCACCGTCACTACTGCCATTAACCCAGTGGGTACACACACACACACACACCAAACAAAGGGCCTTTCTGTGGAGTGTTGTTTAATGACACCCATCCTCTGCTGCTCTATTTTAGGAGGCAACTATTCCTGGTGCATCATTATCCTCATTATCACAGTCCCATATTATTAAGCCGTTAATCAGACATTATCACCATTATGGACATGGTTTCACACATTATCTCCTTACACCTCAATAACGTGTTTCTCAGCATCTGTGTGTGCGTGTTTTTATGTGAGAGAGACATGGGGGAGAGTCAACATGGCCTTGGCAGATTTGGAACATCATGACATGCAAACACTCCTCATCCTCCCTCACAGGAAGACGCTCACATTATGTACAGTTGTTCCTGATAGAGGAGGGACATGGAAAAAAAGTTATTTATTTCTCACCCTAAAACAAACTCTGACAACATGAGACTGCAGATGTGATCCCACTTCATGACTCTGCACTGAGCTAAAATCTGAAGAACAAGGCAGGGCTCCATCGTCAGGCTGATGTCCAGAGGGAGAAACCTGAAAAACATTTGTAGCATAGGATGCCTTTGTCCACAACACTTGGCTCCCTGGGGCATGGAGATGTTGTCCTGCGACTTCTAAAGACTCTCTGGGTATTTCAGAGTTGTTTCAGAAGTCATAAGAACTTTGTTTACAGTTCAGAGAAATAAGGACTACATGGAACCAACTCAACTCAAATTACAGCTTTGTCTCTGTGTTCCGTATGACCGCTGTCATGTGCAACGCACAATTTTGCTGATTTTCATGTTTTCCTTGAATAAAGGATTTCATGGTCAGCGATGCGTTGAAACAACATCACTGAACATTTAAGAGGCTTAAGAAAAACCTTTGAAACTTGACTGTAGAAGGTCGAGAGACATCGAGGCTGTTTTTCTTTGTCTGAATCTTTGAAAAAAAGAATATTTGAGTTCATGGAAACAGATCTCAGCACAGGGATCATGAAGTCTTTTAAGGGCACAGCCAGGCTGATGATTTGGGTTATGGGAGAAAATTTAGGAATCATTAGTCGTCAGACTCATGCCAGACACGTATGGGTTAAATATAACTTTTAACATCAATGTGCTGAGGCTGAGCTGTACCAGCTGTGAATGTTTCCCACTGACTCAAAAGTGTGAGAAAAACGTTTGTTTTGGCTTCAGATCTAACATTTCATTTGTCCGACAGAAACAAAAACAGGATCTGCAATATGAATGTTTAAAATGACATTCTGATCATTAGAAGCTGCATTTCTTTTGCTGGTATTTGCATTTTAATTACATGGATATGAAAAGCTTAATATGGAGGATGGTTGTCACAAATGAGAAGAGATGCGAAGAGTCAGATCAAAAAGGTACGACCACAATTTTTTAAGCGAGCAACTGACTCGGACATTTGCGTTCTCACATATGACCTCTCCAGTGAAGTACATGCCTAAAGGAAGCAGTAAAGTGACTTATTGACTTTCAAGTGCAGCACATAGTGAAGCAAAAGCAGAAAAAAATATTAAGAGAAACATTTAAATATTATTTGACTCCTCGAACCATCACCACCCATCCTGCTCTGCTTCTACACACACACACCCCCACACAACCAGTGTTGCAACTTTGCAGCTGTCTGTTTGCTCTGTGCTGCTGATGTTCCATTGGACTCAAGCCATAATGGTGTACTACGTTTGTTTATGATTATGTGCGTCTGATTCTCAAAGCTGTAGATATATGTGAAGTCGGTCATGCATGAGGCTCTGCAGGAGTCAGCTCAACTCTCACATAATTGAGCTCTGAAATTTTGGAAAAGATGCCTCAGTAAATCAGGATGAACTCATGTAACCTCAAGGAAACAGTCTTTTTGAATGGAAAGGATCTTCAACATTTTCTTCAACAAGCATGAAAACAGTCTGGCCAAGGACAGTTTCAGTTGACATCTGTGTTCTGTCCTGCTCTTCCTGTTTCAGTCTCTGTTGCTATTCTCCCTGGCAGAAGTGAACCAAGCACAGCCATCTTCCGCTTCCTCTGCCAACTCTTCTCACATCAGTGGGTCTTCTTCCAAGGATTTCCTACAATGCGCTCTGCTGCGAGGTGCAGTGTAGCATTATTTTTATTCATTCCTCCAGACAATGATTTCCAGTGATTTCCCACATGGCCTTGAAAAAAAATGTTCTCCAGATCTTTCTCACTAAGGGTTCTGTTTGTCAGTGTTCAGTCTCCTCTCTTGCTGTCTACATTTGCAGTGATGAGGACAATCACAGTAACAAAAAGGGACATGAAAACCCCTTTTGATATATTCACATAAAAATGAATGATTTGTGCAGAGACTGTTTTGCATGCCATTTTCCATGAGCGCCATGTCCGGGGCATTGTTTTTTTTTTTTGTAACCCACATGTAGTAGCTTATGAATACAATAAACAACCCTGCTGTGTGGTGGAGTTTGTTCTCCACTGGAGCTTTGCCACATCAGGCTACTGGATGTTAAAGGAGCATGACATCAAGTCACGGATGAGAAATAAACAACTGGAGCGCAGTGACTTATAAAGAAGCAGAACAGCATTCAAGTATCACTGATGCTGAAGGCTGTGGAAAGCTTGCGTCAGTCGGCTCCCTCCGGACGATTTAAATTCCAATGCATGCGGGCTGACATGTCAAGTCCACACATGAACTGTACATGATCTCTTCCACTCCTGTTTCAGCTCTCCTCTCTGTTTGAAAAATTCACACATGGTATCCTGTCATCTGTGTCTCAACGGCACTATTGTGTGCATACACTCACCGTGCGGTGTAAAGAGATATTGGAAAGCGCTGCGATAGGGAGATGAGGATTAAAGCCTGAGAGGAACAGGTTGGTGCATGTGGGATTATCAGATATTTTGGTGTTGAATGTTGGTTCTGATGACACTTTCTGGTGAAAATTGTTTTCTTTTGTGAAGCTAGAGGGCTCCTGAACAAGGATCTGACTTATTCCACCAGATATCTTCGTGAGAAATCTTTCGTTAAGTGCAGTTTAGAGATAGATACTGCCTCATCATTTTCTGAACAACAGACAGTTGGTTTGTCCACAGGCTAGTTGTGCTCTGTCTTCATCTTTAGCTCCTAGATGTGTGCAAGGTCTGGCCCCTGAAGCAAGTAGTAAAAAAACAAAAGTCATCTCCTGACAATACAAAAAATAAATATGACAGTTTGTTAAGAGTTTTTATTTTCTAAACTTTTATAAGAACACAATGTGCTTGAACAAGGGACAATTTTCAAAATCTGCTTAATGATGTGTGGCTTTGCTCAAAGTAAATAAATAATGACCTAAAAATTAACCTTAATCGATCAGGAATCGTGCATGAACGCTGGACATTTCATTATGGCCCCTTTACAGCCCCTCCACTTGTCCATAAGTATTAAGAAAATGTTGCAGTGTAAGGGATTCAAGTTACTGATATGTCTCTTTAAAACAGTCCAAAACCCCACATTCCCACACCTTTCCAACAAGTGTTTCTTCCAGGAGTGTCTTTACCTCTACCCCCAAACAGTCATCAGTTTTAAAGACAACTCTCTGTTAATGGAAAACATTTATGGGGAAATGGTTTTTGGCCCACATTAGAGATTTTTTGTTGTTGTTGTAATGTGGTTGGCCACAGGGACGACACAACAGCAGGGCTTGCTGCATCATATCCAGCTCTTTTTGTACAGTCCTGCAAAAGTATGAACATACTGTCCTCTACATTGCATAGTCAATGGCAGTCTGCCATCCACGGTCATGTTCACTGACTCTGGGAACTGTCTCTCTGTGATACTGTAAGGTCTCGACCTTATTGTGCAACGTGCCTTGAAATATGTATACAAACT